TGCCGTGTGCCGTGTGCCGTGTGCCGTGTGCCGTGTGCCGTGTGCCGTGTGCCCTCTTTGAATACTGCTCAAGATAACATAGTACATTTGTATTGACTTCTTAGTTCCAGAATATGACGTCACTCACCCGTACCAGTCCTCTCACGCGGGGGAGTTCGTCACTTATGACTTGCGCAGTAAGCATCGTACAAGACGTGAAGTAGAAGCAGATGACAGACATCACTATTCACTAAACGCTTTTGGTAAAACACTCCACCTGAGTCTGCGGAAGAACAAGAATCTGATCAAACCAGGACTAGAAGTAGAGTCACATGCAGATGGCAAAGTAAAAAAGACAAGAATAAGTCCTAGTACGCACTATCTGGGAGAAGTCAGGGATCATCCTGAATCATCTGTGGCTATCACCAACCATGGCGCACTGGTAAGAATACATCTTACTTTCATATTAATTTTTTTTCGAATAAACCTCTTTACCTTGGGCATAATGTTTTCCCATTTTAGACCATTTTAGACCAATTTATTTGTTTAACGACTGCACACAAGAAGACACCTAAATTTGGATACAAGTGAAACAGAATCTTAATTTATACCCCGATCCCGCATTCATTGTTCTACCTTCCTAGTTGCTGTTGCTACACTGGACTAGCTGAAATGTGCTTTTGCTATACAGCTTGGAACAGAATCCGATTCCTAATGTAAATGCCTGTCTTTGAATCAGTGCATTCTAAAAGCACATTAAGAAAATATAATACTTGATAACTACTAAAAAATCTTATGAATTCGAGTTTTTTTGGTCGGACTTCTGTATGCCATTCGGAAAACTACCCAGTGTCCATTGCTTGGGTGGACACTCCAGCATAGCCGGGATCGGTGCATCTATTCTCAATAGAATGACGTACACGTGGTGTGAAATGAGAAAACATAGGCCCAATTTAAAGAAATATATTACATCTATTAATTTTAAAAGACTTCCATTTTATTGATCGGCTTTTTGTTATGCTTTCAGACAGGGATGATAAAACTGCGTGATGATGCCTACTTCCTTCACCCTCTTCCTCATCGCATAGCGAAGAAAGTCCGTAGAAATAAGCACAGCGCTGCCCATATCATCTACAAGTACGACCTAGGAGGACCATCGGAAGACAGCCCCGTTCTAACTATTGATGATGGTAATAATATACTATGCCTAAACTTAACCATGACTAGGAACTAGTAAGCCTCTTTAAGCAGACATTTTTAGGGTCTGTCACGCAATGTTTCCCTCCCCAAAACGTTGCGTGACAGACACTAAGAATGTCTGCGTAGGAGGCTAGGAACTAATCAATCTCGTACCCAGAGCCCTTATTTCTTACTGCGCATGCTCGACGAAATAAATGGGCTCTGGAAAACTCCAAACCGGAAGACCCAGATTCTGGGTTTCTCGCACATGCGCATTATGACAGACTAGGTAAATTCAAAATGGCGGACGATGTTCAACGAGCATGTGAATTTGCGCTTGGAAAATTAGGTTTTGAAGATGGTTTTCAGTTAGATTAACTCCGAAAATATCTATTGGATGGACATCAATACAATTTCCATTACAAAACCGGCAAAACTTTGAAAAATCCGGCCCTACAGGCTTTTTTGGTGTACTTAATTCGAGACGCCATCTTGTTTATTTTCCCTAGTAGTGTAATTTTTACTTCCGGTATCTTCCTTTGTTCTCGAGAACCAATCACAGGACAGGAAATATTGGAGTTTTCCAGAGACCAATTATTTCGTCGAGCATGCGCAGTAAGAAATAAGGGCTCTGGGTACGAGATTGGGAACTAATGTGACTAACTTGATCGCTGCCAGAAAGGCAAGAAGCCCGTACAGTTGTGTCCCAAGAGTCTCGAAGCCCCGTAAGAAGTTCTCCAAACTTCATTACTTCGCCGAAAATTTATGGACCTTTCATAAAATTGTCTTGAATAAGAGACTAACATGGAAATACAAAAGAAATGCCACAAATTCCGCCGAGAAAAAGTGTGATTTTCTTTATTTTTTCATGTTAGCCCCGCATCCACGATACTTTTGAGAAGTGTCCCTTATTATATATTTCTTTAACAGCTGTTAAAAATATAAAAGGCTTAAAGAAACGTGTGGTCCAGAGCAAACGAGTCAACGACGAAAATGACCCGGCCGTTAACTTCACTGAACGATATCTAGAGCTGGGGATGGTGGCAGATCAACAGGTCAAAGCAATCCATGGAAACAATGATACATATACTGCTGATTATCTGCTGACGATCGGTAACATTGTAAGTAAATAGCATTCAGTATAACCCATCAAAGTAGTCTATCAAGCTCCCAACAAGTCACCTTTTCGACGCTAGCCATCGCGTGGTATAAATAGTGTTACGGTCACAAAAGAGACTGTTCTCGGATTCTCATACCATACAAATTCACTGACTTTAAAAGGAAAATTCAAATGGACTTTTTTAGTTAAAAAAAAACTTCCAATTCAGTTAGAAAAGTGATATTTTGCTTGTATTTAGAGAGCTTATTAAAACCAAGTGAATAATCTATTCAAAAGTCAGTACATTCGTACGGAAATTCGAGAACAATCACTGTCCGAACTTTTCGGTGACCGTAGCACCATTTACACTACGTGAATGCAAGCGCCGAAAAGGTGAATTAAGAATCAATTGTGGCAATAGTCCCCTTCACRGTTCCCTGCGCCATCTTGAAAGGTAGCCGGGCCTTTGCTTCGAAGCGAGACGAACGGTGAGCTTGTACTGATAGAGACTTATACTGAATAATTGTTCATGGGGTTAAAGAGGTCTCTATCATTGCAAGCTCAACGTTCGTCTCACTTCGATGCAATTAAGTCCCAGCTACCTTTCAAGATGGCGCAGGGAACCGCGAAGGGGTCTATTGCCTCTCACTTCTTTGGTCTCGGGCCAGCTTGATTCCTATAGACTCGGCATAACATTTGATCGAGTAGAGTTTGTCATGTTTCTCTCTCTCTCTTGATTCAAGAGTTTTTCTACGAGTTCCACAGACTTTTCCAATCTTCTCAAGGGTCTACATCCTTAAATTATTTCGGTTTTAAACTTAAATATATTATTGTTTGCAGATGAATGGAATCTTTCATTACGACTCTTTTGGCGAACAAAAAGTGGCCATCGTCATTAACAAGATATTCATTCTCACCAATGATGAGGTAGGTAGGATATTCTAGACCATAAGTACGATGTGGTTCTTGCTACCCCTGCAAACTCCAAACTTTGCAGTTCGACGTTAGCCGTTTTCCGTCAAACCTTCAAATTTAACAACGCGGTATAACGATTTTGTTGCTGGAAGAGCCTCCACATTGAGTTTCATATGCTGAGTGTTTCTCCGTGTTTGCGGGCGTCTTTCTGGGCCTGATTCCTAGCAGTTTCCGGGTGAGACTCTCTTTACCTTGGGTGTAAATGAAAAACCATTTCAGACCACGTTCAATTCTATCGATAATAATATTTTTTTGAGTTGTATCCACATTCATATGTCTTCTCATGCACAACCTTGAAACAAAAAATATATATATTCTAGGGAGTGACAAGGTTTCTGAAATGGTAAAACATTTCGCCCAATGTAAAGACAGTCTGTGGATTCTATTTATTTGCCAAACTTAAATAGGGGAATAGAGGAAAGGTTTGATCAAATACAGATAATTATCCAATATCACCTCAGTTGTTTCCCCCTTCTACTCCCATCTTCCCACAAGAGAATGCCCTGTTTTCTCGCCCGCCTTTTACTGCAGGAGAAGTGCCTCTCAGCATAACCTCCATGCAGAGTTCTTCTGCCCTACGTTCTGCTGTAGGTCAGCAGGGACCAACCTGCCGCTCAGCCTTACAGAGGGGAAGGAAAACAGGCACTGTTTGCATGGTACTCTCATAATCGACCCCTTTGCTTTTTCGATGGTGTTTAGTTCGGTGCACCTTCTACGAGTAACGCAAGCGTCAAGATACACACTTTAATACGTTGGACCAACAAACAATATCCAGCGCCCTCTGACGGGAGTAACACGCCTCCACCTTTTGACGCGATATCACTTATTCACAAGTAAGACGTTTACGAGAATGGCAAATATAACGCAAATATTATCTAGTGTAATATATGTGTGTATGTAAAGCCATTTTGAAAAGGGTTGATGCATGTTGCATCGGTCTTGCATCGGTTTTTGATGTTGCACTGTTGTACTACTGCAT